AAAGTTGTTACAGATAGAGAAGCTTGCAAAGCTGTAACTCAAACTTCCACAGGTGAAAATGTAAGTATCTGAGATGAAAAATATACCAAATGGATGTGAGATTGGCAATTAAAGAGAAAATATTAGTTATATTAATAATACTATTGGGAATACATAAAATAGAATATAAAAAAGAACTCAAGCTAGCCTAAGTAAGCAGTCATTAAACTTCAAGTGGCTTAATACAGGTCAAAATGGAATCAATGAAGCATAAGAAATAGAGGAGGGAAAAAATATTAAGTTTAGAAGGGGAGAAGTAGAAGTATACAATAGTAAGGTTCTGATACTTATAAGAAATGATATATTACTTTAAGGTAGCTAGTGGTAAATTAAAGATACATTCTATAAACCTTAAATGACTAAATTATGAAACCAAAGAGTACTAATTACTAAGCCAAGAATGGGCATACAATGGAATCTTTAATCCTAAAAGAGGTACAAAGTAACAAGTTGATTCTAAAATTACTATGGAAATGCAAAAGACAGAATAGTTCAATCAACTTTTAAAAAAGAATTGAGGTGGAAGAGAAACAATCTGATTTCAAGATACGATACTCTTACGTTATCATAAGGAACATAGAGGTATCATGTTAGGAAAGTAGATGGGTAAAGTAAAAAAAGTATTGTGATGATAATCATGGAAACTTTTGTTAAATAAAAATATGAAGTTATTATTCTTTTTTCTTTTTTTACCTACAAGCCTTTATTTTTTTTTTTTTAACATTTTATTAGGGGCTCATACAACTGTTATCCCAATCCATACACACATCAATTGTGTAAAGCGCATTTGTACATCGTTTCTCAAAACATTTTCTCTCCATTTAAACCCCCGACATTAGGTCCTCATTTTTCCCCTCCCTCCCCGCTCCCCCCTCCCGCATGAGCCCTTGATAGTTTACAAATGGGTATTTTGTCATATCTTGCCCTGTCCGACGTCTCCCTTCATCCACTTTTCGGTTGTCCATCCCCCAGGGAGGAGGCCACACACAGTTCCATGCAATTGGTTCCCGAAGTTATTATTCTTGATAGATCTTTCATCATGGGTCAATAGACTTCTAAAAGCTGCATAACCATCTCAGTAGCTTTTACCTAAAGAACCCTACGCTGCTCAATTTAGACACCAAAATAGTGACTTTGACACCAAAAGGGGTGCAGTGTTCCTTTCCAGTGTTGAATTTTAGAGACAAAAAGAAGTCTGATTGGGCAGCAGCAATCAAAGCTGTAGAGTGGATTGGGTAAGGTTACCCAACAAAATTCTCATAGAACAGCCCTTAGTCAAATTATGAGCAGATACACTGTTGTGATAAAAAAAAAAATCTGTAACACATTGTTTCTGGCCTTTTTCTAATCTTTCCTTGTTCTTAAAATTTCTTCATAATAAACCTGTGACTGTCCTGTGTCCTTCAAGAAAATCTATCAAGGTTACCCCACTGGAGTCCCCCCCAAAATAGTCACTGTGATCTGACCTCTCTGGCTTGAACTGAAGGAGACCAGCAAATTCCATCAGAAGCCACTTTTTTCATTAGATCTCTCTCTCTCTCTGCACTGGAATGAGACTAGGTATACAAAAGAGCTTCAAAGAGGTTCATGGAAAAATTCTTATCTTTGCATTTGTCCATGAACTTTTGCACCCTCTTTAGTGACACAGCTCCCAGCATCAAAGGAATAGGCAAGCCATCATAATACCATAAGCTGACAGATAGCTTAAAAAGTGAATGAAGTATTAATACACATTACAGCATGGATCAATCTCCAATTTTTAATTACTGTAAGACTTTTCAATGGCAGTTCCTACACACTAACGATAAATTTAAGAGTCCCTAATTTTACCTAGTGAAGCTGAACTGACTCCTACAGGGGAAAAATTGTAATACTGAAGGAATATTAACAGTTTTAAAATTCCAATAGTCCTGTGACGTTTAAAACAAGAGTCAAGTCATTCTCTCTGAAAGGATAAACTGGTACTGTCAGTCACAGAACCGAATACCACTAAAGCAGTAAGAAAGGAAACCATTAAAAAAAAAAAAATTTTTTTTTAAATAAATAAATAAGTTTTTAAAAAGGAAACTATTGACATGAGTAACTCGATCTCAAGGGCATTATCCTCAAGGAAAAAACCAAAAGCAAAACACTCAAAATTTTAAAGTTTACATGCTACATGATACCTTTGCAGAAATTTCTAAAAGGTAACCAGATGAGGTGAAAGAAAAATTGGGAATATATTCAAGAACAGAGAACAAAGAAATAGAAATGAACAGTGAAAGGATAAAAAAATTAGAAGAGACTTTACGAAAACCTAAATTTAAGTGCCAACATATAACTTTTCCACTGGTCTAGTAACTATATCAGAGAAAAATCAAAGGTGGTCTGATAATATGTTTTTTAACAAACACACTCTGAGACACTTTTACTATATATAAAACCCACCGATATTAACCCCAACTTACAGTGACCCTATAGGGCAGAGTAGACCTGCTCTCTATAGGGTTTCCAGGGTTATAAATCTTTTGAGCAGAGGACCCCGTTGTTCTCCCCCTGTAGCAGCGGTGAGTTCCAGCTGCCAACCTTGGGATTAGCGGCCCCACAGTGAAGCCCCTGGGCCACCAGGGCACCTTGTGCCTTTTTTCACCCCGTCAGTCACGTATCGTTCTTTGCATCTCCAGTTCTAAAATCTTGTGTTTCAAAATCCCAAATCCACGGCCATACAGTTGATTCCCACTCAGGGTGACTGTTTAAGGGTTTTCAGACCCTAGAACCATTGACCTTATAGTAAACGAGTCCCATGCCCTACCCATGGTACGTGCCACCAGAGCTTCTTTTAAAAACCAGACAGTCTTCCATCTTTTAGCCCCTCCTGCACTCTCTTAAACTCTTCAAATACCACAAATAATACCAAAATTCTCAGATTTTGTAGAACGTTCCTTTATTAACCATAAGATGTTTCAACTTAGCCAAAATGTAACTAACTTAACCATATGCATTCGTATCTACACATTTTTTAAATGTCTTTTCTAGCAATGTTTGTTTTACTGTTACTGTTTTGAGTGGTGACAGTGGCAATGGCAGGCAGTGGCTTGCTCTTCCTCCAACAAAGAAGTTCCAAAATAAGAGTTGAGCAATTTCCCCCGCTTATGGCCATGCACTACTGTCTGACTCTCCTCCAGCACCTTCTTGCTTTATATGCAATAGAAAATTTTTTGGTTAGTTTCACATTTTTTTAAAAGCCTCAGCTCACTTAACCTCATTTTATTGACTCTTAAAACAATTTATGTTCTATATTTTAGTATGGTAATCTTATTTGCTTTATTTTTAAAATAATGTATATAAAAAAGCTTAAAGAGTTCACTGGGTAATCACACTAAGGATTATATTCTGTCAGACAAACACAAAAATTACATTATTGAACTACTGAAACGAGTCTTCCTTTTTGACAGAAATGTATTCTGTGGGATCATGCTGATCATTTCTCTGACCAAGAAACAGAAGAACTGAGGTTCGTGAAATAAATTATGATATAGCCTTTAAAAATTATGGTATAAAACACTATTTCATAAGACACCACAGGATAGAATATAATAGTAGATTAAAGTATTATCTCAAAATTTAATTGTAAAGAGAGCTCCAAAGTTAGTGGAAAATTCTATTATCTTTTAATTCTATTTTTCACAAATCTAATTAAGTCCCCTCATATATGTGTGATTTTATAAATCACACAGGTGATAGAGAAGATTACTATATACACTATATACTAAAGTATTTAAAGTACATCTCTTTGGTAAATAACATTTTAATTTTTTTCTATGTGCTTTTAGGTATCTACTAAATTGTATGTACTATATATATTGCTTCTGCAATAAGGCAGGCATTATTACTTCTAAAGGATTAGGAGAACCAGAAAAAAAAGTGTTCTATAAGGTAAATGGTAAAAACCTCTAGCTTAAGAGTCTTCTTTTATAGCTGTGCTAATATAACAGAAAAGCATTTTATGGACCCCCAAACCACAAAAGTCAACACACGATACTATAGTTTAACTAAATAAATGAGGCACGGCAGTTCTTAAGATGACCATTCAATCTTTTAAGAATTAAGTGGGGAAACCACCACATGAACGTCAGTATAGTTCAAGGGAAGGAGAGTAGGAGGTATTCAAACTTTAAAAATAAAATCGTTGTGAAGTGTATATTCTCCAAGTCCCTAAAAAATGCACAATTAGTAGAGCAGAAGTAATGAAAACAGAAAAGAAAAAAACACAAGTCCAAATGTTTGAAGTTGTGCTAAAATGTCCTAAGATAGTAAGTAATGTCTCTTACTGGTTAAGATGCAAAACATCACAGCAAGAAAAATTACTTTTATTTAGATTTAGCTGATAAAATCAATTTTCACTAATCTCAAAACTTAACTTACTCTGTTTCAGTTTCAATATTTAAATCATTTATTTAGACTCTCCTAAAAGAATAGAAAGTCATTTCAACCTATTAGACACTTATCATTTAAAAATATTCAGTCCTTTGAAATACTATTATTGTGTATATGTGATTCAACTGATCAATAATTCAGTTAAAAGTAAAAATATATACAATTCCCTTAGTGAATTATTTCAAACATGTCATTTCTTTATCTCGAATTTTCACTTTCAAATATTTAAAATATTCCAATTCATTTTTCTTTGAAATAAAATTTTTATGATCTTCATTAAAAAACAAAAGCAAATATAAGGCATTCTCAAATTACATTAAGATTCTACTAGGCCTTAAAAACAAAGCATTATAGTCATGAAAAGAATAAAAGCACTTTTATTTTAAATAGTTTACCATTAAACTGATAATCAGATATAATGATCTTTCACATCCTGAAATGTAAAATGATCATAATATCACAAAAGCCAAACATCGCTCTCTCATATCTATATATGTTTATAAGCATAACTAAGAGATAGCATATTATAATAAATGAATACACACCTTCCTTTAGTATTTGCCAAGGTAGGAAAACAAAAACAAGAAAAAAATTTTGAAATCAGAGTAGAAAGGGACTCTGCTTTTTCAAACAATGCGGCACTGAAAGCCAGGTCAGCATCCTTGGGCATTACTAGGAAACTTTAGCACATCTGATATTTCCATCATCTTCCAGAGTCATCTGAACAGTCATAAAATGTCCCAGTCTCCTCTACCTCACCTGCCCAGAGACTTCCTTTAAGCTTTCCTCCCTTAACTGTATAATAATGCTCTTTGCGGTTATTTAGGCTTTATATATTCAAAGATACAACCCCCTCTCTATATTAATTCAGTTCATTTTCTCAGACACTGACTCAGCCGTGGGTTGTGCAGCACTGACGTTTCTAGCCAAACAGCATCGTGTGAGCCGTGATCAGCCCACTTCTCCATTTCTGAGCCGCGATTGGATATTGTAATTGATAGACAGGTCAAAGAAAACTCAGGAGATGAGGGCTTAGAGATGTATTGCCAGATGCCATCTGTAAAGCTAATTCTAGCTCTGCCAGCTTGCCAGGTTTTTAAAAACTCAGATACAGCTAACTTTGTTTTTTTTTTTCCCTTCCATTATCTTACGGTGTACCCATCTGGACAGTAAGATTTCTCTTTAAAACCAAAGAGGAAATATCATTTGTAACTTTAAGAATACACTAAAGAATTGTTCTTTAAAGCAACCAAACTTTTTGATTTATAACTGCTGCTGAACTACGGAGTGACTTAGAAAGGAACTGGAAAGCGTGGTGCTCATGCAGTCTTAGAAGAAAGGAGCATGCGTACTTCCATGTGGGAGTGAAACCTTGCGGCAAAGTCTGATACTGAATGTATGAGACATTTATCTTTAGTAACCTCAGCAGTTCTGGGTTTTATATAGTCACGTTCAATCTATTTCAAATATCCCAGAGCATTAAGCATAGTATTAACATAGGCATCATAATATTAATCATACAGGAAACTTTCCTTTCCATTGATAAATAGCAAAAGATTCATCTATAATTAAAAGTTGTCACAATCCCAGACAACTACATTCATTGCTATCAAAATGGTTTCTAATATTTTTAGCAAGCTATCAGACCTCTTTATACATGTATTGACTATGCAATAATATAGACAGTTCAGTAATTTTTTACAAGCTAATTCATTCTTAAACATTTTCAAAGGGATCATACCAAAACCAAACTTACTGGCCAATCTGAAATCCCTCCAATTTCAAGTGAGCTTTTCTAAGTATATTGTCTTTTACATCACAGAGTACTTACTATATATATCAAATCTACATTCAAAATAAAAGTTTACAAAAGTAACTTAAAGTTGTATTAGATAGAATAGAAAGTATGTTGTCCACCAAATCCTCAAAATTCCAACAGTATAAAAAACAGTAACTATTATTGTTGCTTTTGTAAATAAAGAAATCTAATTTAATATCTGCCAGCAAGGAAAGGAGAAAAAAATGAATAAAAAGGCTGGAAGAAAGCAAGCTATTCCAAAATGTGAGCAGAGTAAACAAGCAAACAGATTTGAGTAAAACAACTTTTGGATTATCTTCACAAGTCAAAACAATAAAGAAAAGGATGTTTAGTTCTTTCCTTCTTTCAAATTGAAATTCCCAATTTTGATTTGGTAATAAGTACCCAGTTTTAAAACTATTCATCGTCTGTCATATAGACCTATTTCTGGTTCTAGCTAATGAGTTAAAAGTTTATACCTGCTGGAGCTTTTTGAGAACTATCATTCTCTGATACAAAGGAGGCCTTCCCTCCTCCTCTTCTCTTAGACGGTCATGGGGGCTGGAGCTGCTGTAGTCAGATGTGTTCATGAAGGAAAACCTCAAAGAATCAAGGAATCTTTGGCTCTGACCCTTTAAACTACTACACATACAAGAGTCATTACCTATCTCTGGACTTCATATGTACAAGTAATGAATGCCCACGATGGGCCAGTATTCAACCTGCTTTTCTTCGACTCAAACATCCCTAAGTAAAATACAAAGATTTAAAACAGGGGGAAAGCGTATTAAATGGATAGAAGCACAGATAAAATTGGCCATGAACTGGTAACTTAAAAGCTAGATGTTGAGTTTACATGGGGGCTCATGATCATATTCCATCCTTTCCCCTTTTTATCATATTCCATTTTTTATGTGATTGAAATGTACTGTAAAGTATTCAAAATTATTGTAAAACCTAAAAAGAGAAGCTCGTTTTAAAATCCCAGCTCTGCCATTTACAAGCTGGATGGCCCTGATGTTAATTAACTTTGTTTTTTCTCAACTGTCAAATGGGGATAGTAAAACTATCCAAAGAGCTCCACATTCAGAGTCAATTAATCTCATGAAAGTAAGTCCCTGTCAGGAATATCCTCCTCTGCTAATCCTGTTATCACCCAAGGATAAACTCGAGTACCATTTTAACCTACTCAAGTTGATACTGAGTCCATCTCTTAATTCTTACAGTTCTACAGTTTAGTGCCCTATTGTTCTCTAATGAGCCTATATGTAAATTTTAAAGCATCTCATTATTGTGTTCTGAGACACCTAACTCTGCCCCTAAACTGAGGACAGGTCTTCAATAATACTTGCTATTGACTACATTTTTAAAAGCCCTCAGAAGATTAAGTTACTATCTTTAACTAAATATATGGTTTTTTAAAGTTGGACTTTAAAAGTCATATGTTCCAAAGCATGTAAAGAGACATGAGGTCCCAGAAGTAAACAATTCTTCTTTAATTAGATTTTCCACAAGTGATGGTGAAAATTCACTCAAAATACTTCGTTCTTCTCATTAAAAAGAAAAAAAATGTATTGATTAGTATTTACAATGAGACTGCTGGAAACTGTAAGGGGGAAATACCCCAGAGAAGGAAATCTCAAATATTTCCCACTAATAGAGAGCAATCGTCAATTAAAAAAGAGAGAGAGAAAAACAGTACCCTGTCAAAGGCAGAAAACTTGCAAGACCAAGAAAAACTCTCACAAGTTTCAATGTATCTTCTATTTCTCTATAATGTTTTTTACTCAAATGGCCCTACATATTTTTGGTACAGTGAATTACTTAGTATGGTTCTTCTAGTCATAGTGTTTATAGCTCCTACCAAATAGACTGAGTAGCCAAAAAACCAGACTCACTGCCATCAAGTCAATACTGACTCCTGGCAAACCCACTGTGGGTTTCCAAGAATGTAACGTTTACAGGAGTAGAAAACCCAGTCATTCTCCAGCAGAGCTACCGGTGGTTTCAAACTGTCAACCCTGCAGATTGCAGGCCAATGTCTAACCAAAATACCATCAGGGTTCCTAATGGACTGAGTAGGGGTATGCAAATATGTGGTGTCTGTGGCCCATCAAGTGGTGGAATAGCTTGCTAATAATGTGAATGGTTTGCAGCCATGTAAATAAGGTATACAGAACTCTAATGTGGGGATTGATCAGTTTTGTCATCTGGTAGGTTTAAAATGAGCCATCCCAGAAGCAGAATACGAGGATCTCACTATCAAGAGGAAAGAAAAGCCAAAAATGGAGCATGTCCTTTGGACCCCAAGATCCCTATACTGAACCAGGGAGCTGAGATATCAGAGCAGCAGCAGGAGAGGCAACAACTCCAAAAGCACAAGACAGAATGCTGGGCTTCCTAATCCACAATGATAAGAAAACTGAGTGGCTTTGAACAAGAGGCTTGCTTACAGCAAGGGTGTCAGGCAGGAGTAGAGTGTCTTTTAAAAGAGCATTTAACAGCAGAGCTAAAAGAGCTTTATAACATTACCTGTGAGCAGGGCAGAGGCCCAAAGGGCTTTAAGGCTAAGAAGCTGAAGATCAACCCTTTAAGTATGGCTAAAAAGAGGTGACTGTGACCAAATAAGTACATCCAGAGTGCTTCTGATTGTTAATTGTAAACTGTTAACTTCCCTAATAAACTCCATAACCCCGAGTATTTGCTTGTGAGTTCTAGCCAATGCAACATATTATTGAACCCCAAAGAAAAGTAGAAAGTACCATGGGAGAAACAGGATTAGATTTGGTAAAGAAGGGTGGCAGGTAAAGGCATGTCTGACTTTAGCCCATAGGAATCTGCCTTGGGCTGAAAATGAGTTTGATTCTCCTTCCTCCTTGTAAAGTCAGAAGAGGTCAAATGCTGTCCTCTCCACGCCATTTTCTCAGTACTGCTGCAGTCTGCTAGAAAGCAATGCCACTAAATAGTTACTGATGCTGTAAGTATCTAAAAGAGGCATGCTGTTTGTTAGTAAAATGAAACAGCAATACAAAAGTACAGACATATATTCAAGTTATGATGGGCCATGTTTAGAACCATATTTCCCCCCCAAGAATGTCTTACTATGTAGTATAATATATCCTATATGCAATACTGCAGGGCATAATCTGTTGATGCTATCATTTTCAGACCAACCCCAAAGACAAATAAAGATTGAACTTATAAAGACACTAAAAATAAAAAATAAAAATTTAATTTGTGCCCAAACCAACTTATGACAACAGCATCAGACCATTCATTGCATGCATGTAGCTTTTAAAAAGCAAAACAGTGGTTTCTTTTCACCTCCTCAGTGTGTGATACATTATTTTACATTAGCAAAAACAGAAAGACAAAAAGCAAGACAAAACAAAACCCAGAACTAAAAGATAAAACTCAAAGTGCATTGCCATCAATTCAATTCTAACTCACAGCAATCCTATAGGATTTCAAAGTAGCATTGTCTCTTTGGATTTCCAAGGCTATACATCTTTACAGGAACAGAAAGCCTCATCTTTCTCTCATTGGTGGCTGGTGGGTTCAAAGAGCTAGCCCAGTGGTTAACAACCCAGTGTGTTAACTTTGCCACTAGGGATCCTTGTAGCCTTTAAGTGATCAAATCAAAACCAAACCAAGCCAAACTCACTGCCATCGAGTTGATTCTGACTCATAGTGACCGTAGTACAGGACAAGACAGAACTGCCCCTGTAGGTTTCCGAGACTGTAACTCTTCGTGGGAGTAGAAAGCCACATTTTTCTCCCAAAGAGCAGCTCATGGTTTCAAAGTGCTGACCTCTAGTTAAACGCCCACTTGTAACCACTACACCACCAGGGATCCTATGATCAGAGCAATACCCCTTTATTCAGGAAGGGAGATAACCATCCAAGTAGTAGAGCGGAGAAAGAGAAGTAGAGTCCAAGTTGAATATGATACACGCATAAACAATGAAATAAGGTACAGACTATGAAAAAACACTCATACCATTTGGCATGTATTTATAAATTAATAAAGTCAATTTAACATTACAATATTACCACATTAAA